CCTGGCAATGCACATATTTTACAGCAGTCTGACAATTTTTTTACATGTTAAAATACTCGCAGGCATTTTGTGCAGACTATCTAAAGGATCTCAGAAAACCCCTCACAACTTGCCCTAGTCTTACAGAGCAGAAACTAGGATAAAAAAAAAATGAATAAAGAATGAATAATTGGCCTCTTGAGTATAATGATACCGTCTGTTTCTAAAGGACATTTGCTTGTGTTAAAATCAACCTTTTTTCTCAGCAAGAATTACACATTTCTGTGGCACTGAAGAAGTAATTGCCAAAGTTATTTGTGTCACAATAGCATTAATCTGGAAGGACGAAGCCACTACCCAGAGGTCATGGATGACCCGGTAATGAGACCATCAAGCATCACCATAAATAATTAAAGCAAGACACATTACTTGAGAACTTTTTCCCTTTCTCAGGCACCTTGAAGTTCCTTCATTATCTATATAATTTGTATTATGGGTGGATTACCAACACACAGAGCTGCAATTTCGGTCCTTCTCAGAGAATCCCAGACCAGTTGTGACTGGGAGGGCTCTCTGGAGATGGACCAGCCCAGTCCCTGCTCAGAGCAGGGTCACCTGGAGAGCGAGTTGCCCAGGTTGTGTCCTCTTCAGTTCCAAATATTGCCAAAAATGGGGTCTCCACAACCGCTTTGGGCAACCTCTTCCAGGGGTAAAAAGCTTTTTTTTACTTTTAAATGCAACTCCTGTGTTTGAGGTCGTGCCCGTTGCCACCCACCCAGTCTCTGGGCAGCACGAGGGCTCTGCCTCTCGTCCTTGCTCCTTCCCAGCAGGAGCTCCCTATTTCCACAGGGATAAGATCCTCCTGAGGCTGAATAGTCCCAGATCTCGGCCTTTCCTCGGCTGAGAGGTGCTTCTGATTTCATCTGCTTGTCTTTTCACATTTCTAATTTCAAGCAGAAACCCAACATTTAAATTGCCATGATACATAACTGAAATTTGAGCATCGATGTTCTTTATTTACCCCCCAGCTTTCCCTTGGAAAAACATGGGTGGGATCTTCAGGAGAGAGCAGGAATTGTCCACCGTGTGTATCCATCAGCGGAGAAGGTTTGTTATAAATGGGCCAGGGAATGATTTGGGCTCTTCAGATCACTAACGAGGTCTCGTCGTCAGGGTGAGAAGCAGTTGATTCAATACCTCATGATTCAGTGCCTCGTGTTAGCCGAGATGACAGTCCTCATGTTTAACTGAAAGGCATAATTAATCTGAAGTTAATTGAGTAATTCTGTATTTAATCTGTTATAATAGAGAATTCAATTGACTTCCTGAACCAATCAATTTCTCTCTCTCTCTCATATTGTTTTTCAGGAGGGGATTTGGGTCTTTGTGATTGGTTGTTAAATATTGCCCAAACCCACTTTCTTTTCCCCTGAAGCAGATGCAGACCCCCCCCTCCATCACCTCTCTGGGGGGGGCTGGGGTTACCTTGCTAAACCAGTTCCAGTGGGGTTTCCTCAGCCTATCCCTTAGCACTCTTGGGATGAAAAAAGAAAAAAAAATGTTGTAAAAGTCTAGCAAATATCTTTTCACCACTATTTAATGTGCTTGGTTTCTAAACAATTGCAATTGATTTTGTTTGCTCTTGCAAACACGAATTATCCCATAATCATCTGAGCCTTCCAGCCAAGCTTACATTGACTTGTTTGTGCTTTAAAGTTGAGAAAAAGCAGACATCATCATGAAAATAAGCAAGGTTAGAAGAAAATAAAAGGTGGGGATGTTTTCCTGGTTGGCAGGATGTACATCCACTTCAATTAATTGTCACCCTTATAGCTTATGAAATACAATGCAAGGAGTGAGGTAAATTTGAAAATTAAATAAATGACATTTATTTTTGCTTTTGCTTGTGGTTTCTGCTAAAGGGCTATTTCAGGGTTCATCAGTGACAGTCTCTTAAACTGTGTGATTGCTTGCTTTTGATCAAAAGGAGTATATGCAGCAGAATACTAAAGGGGACATTGTTTTTCAACTACATTTCTTTACAAGCAAGACTTTGTGGCTTCGTGCAGCCCAGGCCCTGGAGGATGGAATTGTACAGGCAATTACCCACCAGTTTTAAATAATGGAGCATTTCCTCTGACACCCATGTAGGTAACAGGGGGGAGCATCAGCATTGCTGGTACTTTGACACCCTTTTCTGGCTAATGTGGTTTAGTTTTTAAATAACTTTATCCCCATTTTTCTGTAGACTTCATCCCCATTTTTTTTCTGTGCTCTTTAGCTTTTTATATGGTTTCTGATATTTTGTGTTTAAGAAGTTATTTTTGGTAATTTGAACTCATTTACTCTTCTGTCCTACAGTGTATGGCTATGATGCCCATTTCATATAAACTCCTTGAAAGAGTCATATGAAAAATACATTAGGCTGAAATCAAGTTGTCTGACCCGTAGCTCGTTACTGTCAGGAAATAGAGGGCTTGTTCCTGGAGGGGGATGAACCCCTGGTGTCTCGTTGTGGGTGAATGAGAGGGAGAGGGCTGGCACCCAGGAATAGCACTTTGGTGTCGTGTCCCAGAGGAGTTGGGTGAAGATGTTGGTGTGGATGGACCTTCTAATAGCAAGTGTTGTGAAAATGTAAATGGATGGAAAATGGTTTGGATGGCACAGCCCCAGAATTGGAACTCCAGGGGGGGAATTAGGAGTGGGAGTAGGTGAGATTCTCCATCCCAATGCCTTTAGACTGGGAAGTCTGGGACAAAACAGGGGGAGTTATTTCTAAACAGAGTGAATTTTCCACTGTTTTTTTGAAGACATGGCGGGTGGATAGGGTTTGTCGTGAGCCCCTCTGGATTTACTCCTGGATAATTCAAGTTAGAATTTGGCCTGAGTTGTCTTCGAGCGTGTTTCATGCATGAGAGCAGCGTTCAGAAACCACATCAGTGGTTTGGTAAATCAGCCTTAGCTTTTATTTTCATTTTTGTTCTGAAAACATTCAAGGGGCTTGCGTTAAGGCCCCCTTTATTACTGCAGCATTATAAATTATCTTTAAGTTGAAAACCCACTGCATTAAGTATCTCTCCTATACAATGTCTCGGTTGTTTATTTCAAGTGCTTCTTTGGTACCTATGCTGAGGAACTCAGCCTTGATTTTGTGAGGTGCCGAGTGCCCTTGATGTCAATCGGGTTTAAGGATGCTCAGCCTCTGGAGAGCGGGCTCTGGACAAGGCTTTAACCTCGCTGATAACAGCTGTGATAATGAGAAGTGACAAGACAAAATTTGCCTCTTGGTGTATTTGGTGTTTCTCTCTCATTTCGTGCCTCCTGTGGGAACTTTCTGGGCTGTTTTTCATGTTCCTCTTCATAATGACTTAAGCATTCAACCAAAATAAGTTTTTCATAAGAACATTTGAGAGAAGCTTTGTCTTTTAGGACTTGTTTGTCGTACAAGGTCCTCAGGTTAAGCTTGTTTATATTTAATTAGCTTAGGGTAGGGCAATCCTTTGGAAGAATATTGGAGGGAGAAATTACAGCCTCATTAACATAATGCTCCAGAAGGGCATCAGTGACAAGACAAAATTTGCCTCTTGGTGTATGTGGTGTTTCTCATTTCGTGCCTCCTGTGGGAACTTTCTGGGCTGTTTTTCATGTTCCTCTTCATAATGACTTAAGCATTCAACCAAAATAAGTTTTTCATAAGAACATTTGAGAGAAGCTTTGTCTTTTAGGACTTGTTTGTCGTACAAGGTCCTCAGGTTAAGCTTGTTTATATTTAATTAGCTTAGGGTAGGGCAATCCTTTGGAAGAATATTGGAGGGAGAAATTACAGCCTCATTAGCATAATGCTCCAGAAGGGCATCAAATAGTATTTTCCCAGTGACTAACCCAATGGTCCAATGGCTTCTGTATCCTCCTTTCCAGCAGGCAGAAGTAGTAACTCTTTTAGGACATGATGAACTAGGTAAAGGATAATTTTCTCCACTAGGAAATATTCCTTCTAGCACCGGTCAGTAAGAGGCTGATGCACGTAAGAAGACTTAGCCCCCTTTCAAAATACTTGGATATTGTTTTGCTCCTTATTAATTTGAAGGTATTGGTACACACTATAAAGCTCCATAACTTTAAAAACATTTTTAAAAAACTTGATTTGCAGATTACTGAGATCCTCTGGCAGTTAATTTTATGAGTAGTGTTAAAAAAGGAAGATAATGAAAGATGCATTTCCAAAACCTGCAGAATGATATTTTGCTGCCTGCATCCCTGAGTTGAGACACGATTTTATGGGTTATTTGTTGCAAGAATGATCCCGTGTTTGGTTTTTTGGTTCTCTGAAACTCTTTTCTTTCTTTTTTTCTCCTTCGGGAAAATGTGTGAAGAGTGAAATAGAATCATAGAATGGTTAGAGTTGGAAGGGACCTTCCAGATCATTGAGTTCCAACCCCTTGCCATGGGCAGGGACACCTCTGTTAACTTAATAATTAAACTTAACTTGATGCTACCGTGTATGGCACTGATGAGGTCTGTTTCCTACTTCTCTGTGGTAGGAACAAGTTGTCTATTTGTATCCAGCTCTTGCTTTTTAAATTTCATTTATGTGACTAGCTCCTCGGATGCTGGATCCATCTGCACAGCAACTGGTACCGTTGTCTGTGATGGTGATGTCTAAGTGCCGTTGCAGTGCAAGCAATAAATCATATTATACTTAAATAACAATCATATAGATAGCAATGTATAGAGAGAGTACTCTGGAGCCTGGCAGGCTGTCTTACCCTCAGCGAGGTTTTGCTTTGGGAGGAAGCCTCTAGGTTGCACTGCGGTCTGTGGGGAAAAAAAATAAGAATAACACCATGCATAGAGATCCAATTAAATATCAAATTAGAATCAGTTGGAATCTTTCATTTAAATGAGAATTAACTGTTTTCAGTATCCGGAGTTCATTAGTTGTGTATTCACCCATCTGGTCACTCAGAGTTCTGGAAGAATGAAACTTGGTGAGTTCTGAGCGTTTCCTTTTTCCGTTTCAGGTTCCTGTTGTGGGTACTTCCCACTTGAAATCCTGTCCCTTCGTGTGAGAGCATCATATGAGGAACCTCAGTCCTGCTTTACGGAGCTGTTTACTTGCAGAACATGCTGACTGGTGCCTGAGGGAATTAGACAAAAGCACTAAGGTATGTATTTAACCCACCCTAAAAATTCTGGGTGTTTAGTTTTCTTTTCTAGTGTAATTAATGCTGGACGAGACTTCTGGCCATCTATCCCCCAGCCCCTCCTGTTCAGAGCAGTTAGAATCATGGAATCATTGAATGCTCAACCAGCTCAGGTTCCTTCAGCCCTTGTCCAGCCTGGTTTTGAGTGTTTCTGAGGGTAGAGATTTCACAACCTCTATGAGCAGCCTATTCTGGTGTGTGACCATCACATGATGGTCCCAGCCTTCCTTCCAGCCAATTGCCAGTTCCTGTGCTGTGACTTGTATTCCTGGTGTTCCTTGCCTCTTGTCCTGGTGCTCTGCACTTCCTTTTTTTGTGGCTCATTGTTAGTGTGGCTTTTAACCTACACTACTAATAGAGTCCAGAATTAGGGAACTTGACCATATCTTGCAGGGATTTTTTTTTTTTTTTTTGTGAGTGCTTGGTTGGACTGGAGGGGCGGTCATGGGAAAGCCATGGATGGAATCTGAGAAGGTACAGATGTTTTGTGACACCTTGGGCATGTCAATCCTTTGACATTTTGGTTCATCCATCAATTGGTGAGACAGTTATGTCCTCTCTGCATCCTTGTTTAGCTGCTGAATTCACTGTCACCTGTATATGTGACACCACACATCCAGGGAGGGGACCAGTGTTGCTGCTTGTATTTGCTGCATTAAAATCGACAAAACTTCAATAGTGTAGAAATACATTCAGGAATCCAGAAAGGGTTTTGTTGTCTGCTGGGTTTAATGTACCAGCCAAATGGCAGTGGTCATGAATTGTTGACAATCAAACACTGAGCATCCAAAGAGCTGAAGGTGAGAACTTGGATGTATACATTTCCATCGATAATTCCCAAGACATTAGAGCCTCAATGTCAGAAGTTGTACCTCTGCACGGGATGACAGGATATTAATGAAGTTGCTCCAGCCATTACACTCCAAGTGCTAATTTATTCATAGTTTTCTAGCAGTGGGGGGAGAGGGGGAAAGGAAAACCCGAGGTCTGAGTTCAGTAGCCCTTGAAACAAAGCTGCATGCTGGCTTTATTTGCAGCATTTCTGAGTCATGTATCTATTTCAGCCTTGGTGAATGAGACCAGATTAAAAGGAAGTGAGTGAATACAGCCCGGATAAATTGACTCCAAGTAGGTCTTATCACCAGATCATTCCACTGGAGCTGAACGTTAACAAAAGTCAGGCAATCATGTGTTCAAGATGATACAGTGAAACACGTTCCCATTTCCCTAAAAACCCACCTCGAGTTCATAGCACTTAATCCTGCAGTTTGAATAGTTATTGTTGGCTGGTTCATGTCTCTGTGCTGAAAACTGTTACCCTGTGAAACACTCACCATGAGTTAAAATGTATTAATGAGATAAAGATATGCCAAAATCCTGGCCCGTTTTACCAGCTGCTGTATAAGCAGAGGAGAGAGACATGGTCACTTCTTATGTGCTGTTATTCATCAGTATATTCTGATTTTAAGTTTTACTAGTTATGAAACATAGGAGAAGGCTGATTTTGTAAAAATCAGTTTAGCTCTACTAGTGCACCTCTAGACGATGGCTCTGGCACCAAAGAGTCCGGGTGTTACAGGATTGTGACGACCCTTCATAGCAGAAAAACTCAGAAGGTTTTGGAGTCTTTGTGGGTCAAAAACTGCAGAAGCAGATTTGGGATGGATTTGGCTCATGCTGTCACTCAAGTATGAAGGAGGTGATTACTTTGGAGAACTGAAATGCCTGCGTGCCCCCTCGCTGTCTGTCCCTGCTCTCCCCCAGCGCTTGGGTTTCCAGGGAACTCTCCTAAAACAATTTAGGCAGGCAGGGTCCTGTTCCCACTTTGTTTTTAACTGACACTCATTTGCAGACATGTTTCAAAACTCGATATAGATACCTTAGAAATCACAAAATGGTGCCCCCCTAATTATTGTTTTGCCTGTAAATTGCATGGAAGGAGTCGTGTTTTGAAAGGCTGGCCAATTCCCTTTACCCAGATGTCTGCAGTCCCTCTGATTTCAGCAGCATTGTGCAAAGCACATGTGCAAAGCAAAATCTGATGTGCAAGCTGAAGCTGGTTCATGGAACACACACACCCATTTCCATACGTAAAGACTGATGTTTCTCTGTGTGTGTACGTTGCTGGTGCACATCAAATGTGGACACAGCTGTTTCATTCAAAATGTGCCAGATTAGCTTGGCGAATTTATATACTTATTTAGCCTATAGAATTTGCAGGCTCACTTTGAATGCAGAGACTTGAAGATCTTTGCTTGAGAGGTAACCAGGGTAATTGGAGGGGTCGATAACTTCAATCGGGAATACTGCTGAGCAGTGGGAAAGAGTGACTGAGGAGGGAGGGGGGTGGCTGAGGCCAACGGGGGCAAGACGTGGGGCGTTGTAGGAGAAAAACAAGATCCCAAATCTTACACAACGTGGAGTGGGGTTCTCTTTAATGAGCGGGCAATTCTGACAGCCCCTGATTGATAACAGGCACCTCCTCACCCTGAATCCTGGAGCTGGGAAGAAATTTGATTAAAGGAGCAGTTCCCAATAACAAGGATGTGGAGTGTACCTCTGCAGTCTCTTCATCAAGTGCTTGGTCAGTCCTGTGTGGAATAGTTGTCCAGCTGGAGTGGTCTCTTACTTCTCATTATTTTAATTAAATATCTCTCTGCCTCAGTAGTGCTCGATGCAGCCTCTCAGAGTAGGTCATTGGTTTGAATCCAGGCTTTTCTCATTTTCTGGTTCCAGCTGGGACTGGGTAGTGGCAGACTGGGGGTTGGTGTGGAAATGACTTGGTCATCCTCCTTCAGGGTCTAAGGAGAGGAGACAAAAAGTAAACACATGTTGTTTCCTTATAGTCTCTTCTTACCATTAGGAAAACCATGTGGCCTTGTTGCCCAGAGGCCAATGGGATCCTGGGCTGCGTAGGGCAGAGTGTGACCAGGAGGTCAAGGGAGGTCATTCTCCCCCTCTGCTCTGCACTGGGGAGGCCACAACTGGAATCCTGCGTCCAGTTCTGGGCTCCCCAGTTCAAGAGGGACAGGGAACTGCTGGAGAGAGTCCAGCGAAGGGCAACTAAGATGCTGGAGGGATTGGAGCATCTCTCTTGTGAGGAAAGGCTGAGAGAGCTGGGACTCTTGAGCCTGGAGAAGAGAAGGCTGAGGGGAGACCTTCTTCATGCTCCCAAGGATCTAAAGGGTGGGTTGAAGGAGGATGGAGCTGGACTCTTTTCCATGGTTCCCAGTGACAGGACAAGGGGCAACGGGCACAAGCTGGAGCAGGGGAAGTTCCATTCAAATATGAGGAAGAACTTGTTTGGGGTGAGGGTGGCAGAGCCCTGGCAGAGGCTGCCCAGGGACGGTGTGGAGTCCCAAATCTGGAAACGATTTCAATCCCCTGCCTGGATGCTCCTGAGTGATGTGCTCTGGGCAACCCTGGGCAGTTGGACTAGACTCCAGAGCTCCCTTCCAACTCTGACAATTCCGTGATTCACGATTCCGTGAAAACTGCAAAGAGATTATCAAGAAGCTTCTTTCCTTATTTCCAGTTTTCCCACTCCCTCTCTCATCTTGTCCATGAGTAGTTTCTCTGAATTTACACTTCCTTGGATTCACAGCGTTGGGAGCTCTCTTCCTGCTGCACAAAAGCACTTTCCTGTGCTTAAACACTTTCCCTGGATTATGCGTAGAAGAACATAGAATGAAAATTACACTTTTAGAGTGAAGCTGATCATATTTCATATTAGGACTAGAGTTATATGTAATTTATGCAGGGCTAACAAATGCTAAATAGCGATTGCATGCGTGGTTTGTAGATGTTAAAGATGGTTAAGATGTCATTATAAATCATATGTTAGAGCTGCAACTGCCAATTAAGAGAGTATTAACACATGTAGTAACATTGTATTAACCCTTCATAAACTGTTCCCAAAGTCCTGTTTCTATACATGATACTTTTGGACTGAGCTTAGAAATAAAAGTGCAAAATAAAACTAGATGAAGAAGGGAAAGTTTGCTCAGTTTGCAGGAGGAGTTCTGGTGAGATTTTTTCCACAGATGACAAATAATTTCATTTAATAAAAAAAAAAAAACAGAGGAAAAATAAATAGATCTACAGAAAGAAAATCCATAGATTCATTAAGACTTTATGGAAGTGAAGTAAATTCTGAGGTTGGTAATTTAACTGCAAAGGAGTCTCGTTGGGAGGGTGCAGATGGCTCAAAGGCTTTGAACGTGCCGTCTGAAGGAGGTGTTCCCTTCCCACTGCATCCTGCCACCCCCAGTGGCATCCCACGATGGACCGTGCTCATCCAAACTGGGAATGTAGGAACATCAGAACCTTGGATTTCCTATGTTCTTGTCACCCTCTGGACCCACTTCTCCCTCCCCACCAAAACAACCAAGTTTCAAAACAACATCCCACTGAAAGTTGACCATGTGAATGGCTGTTGATTAACATTCTCGGATTAATCATCCGGAGGAGTGTGAAAATATTCCCTTTGTGACATAAAAAGGGTTCTGTTACAGAGTTAGGAACATGTTTAGTAAATCTTGTCTCCATTTAAAAAAAAATAATCGTTTCTGCCGTTCCTGAATGCCAACACTCTCATTTTTCATGTTGAAACATAAGTGACCGTACATTAATGCAACAACCTAATATCTCAAAGCTTAGATGTTTCCATCTTTAATAACATTAGTGATAAAGACATGTGCCTTCTTAGCCTCTTGATGGTTCCAAGGACTAACCAAATTGTAGGACTTCAAATTTATTAACAATTGCCAGATTTGAATTACTTTTATTCAATTAACTGACTCAAGGGTGGTTTTCAATGTAAATGATGACCTTAAACACAGTGTGGAAAGGAGGAACACGATGTGGGTAAATGGTGTATTAGTACGTGCTTCAGCGTCAGGAAATTTAAGTGAGGGAGAGAAATGTGTCATCAACAAAAGTTAG